GATCAAGCTGGCCATCTTGATAGGTACGGTGAGTTCTTCTTTAAGGATATGAGAAATGGACCTTCACTAACGTTTTATATAGGTAGATCACTATGTAAATAAAATTCAACTTGACTTATAGACAAAAAGATTTTCTATTTTTGTAATATTCAGCTTTTAGAATTTAAATTTTTATTAATTATATTGATATAGACCAGGGATCTCCAAACTACGGCCGGCAAAAGTTTCTTTAGTTGCATGGTAAAATTTTAAAATGTATTAAACTTCGATTTCACAATAAAATCCACATTAGAATCCTGAAGTTGAGCTTTATAAAATGGGCAGAAAAGAGCAAGTTTTTATCTTTAGACACAGAACAGGAAACACCAGAATGAAGGCACACCTCAACGAGAAACATTTAACATTTTAGAAAACCCTCTCTGTAGTTGTAGAACAGTTTACCAAAACACAGAGCATCCTTCAGACATGTTCTGAGCTCGAAGACACCATAAAGCAAATTTGGCCAAACCCGACTGACTTGGTGATGCTCTATGGTGGTTTGGGGTCGTCCAATTTATACTCTTAATCCCAGACTTCACCATTTGAGGGAGTTTCGGAGAAAAAGAAATATGAAATTAATTAAAGCGCTCAAACACAAGCTTACTACAATGTTTATTGCACGGGTTGTTTTCTTAGAAAGCTCGTTTAAAAACTGAAATGTCATTTATAAAACATGTTTATATTTGTCATCACATACTACGGAACTTGGTGGAGGTCTCAAAATGTTCCGCGAGAGTACAATTAGTGAAAATCTCAAGGTGGTCCGTGTGCCAAAACGTTTGCAGACTGCTAATGTAGGCGATCAATCTTTCAAGAATTTGTGTTTATTTAATATGTCTTAGTTGCGTGTGTTATGATTTACAAAACAAATTATCACAAGATGAAATAAATAAAACTTTTTGGTGGAAATACATGGAAACAGCTGGAATACTTAAATTTAAATGGTCACTTAAGACCATGGTATCGTAAAAATAAATAAAGTCTTATTACATTATTAATAGAATTTTCTGGAAATATAACTTATGGGAAATTTTTATTACTTTTTATCAGTTTTAATAGCAATTACATAAACCACTTTACATCTGAAAGAAATAACAATGAAGTTCCCAGGAATAACAATACGGATTGACCCTACCATACTCGCAAATATATTGTGCAGCAATGTAAATACTTTATTAACACACCTTGCATAAAATTATCACTAACCACAATACACAGTTATCAAATACAGTTGAGTCACAAAAATAGATTTTTTTATGGTTGAGTAAAACGCGACACGGTCTACGAACTTTCTGAGTGAGATTTAGTTTATTTTACATAAAGTGAACCAGTACACCTTTACAAAATATTACGATATCTTCAAAATTACGGGAACAGATAGTGATTTGTAGAAAGATTAGAACATATTTCATTTAAGACCATGCCTGATATCTAAGATGATGCTCTTGCTTTAAGGATATGTGATAGCAACGATGTGCTACATAAAACGACTAATAAAGTGAAGAGGTATTAAGATGCGAAGATATGTAACGTATAAAATAACACCAAAGGATAAGGAAGAAATGACTCAACTTGAGAAAGATATAATGTGACTGGTATTGTATAACGCACGTGTGTGTCGTATTGTAAACCATACTAAATTGTAGCCACTCAATAATAGAATTATATTTTAAAGTAACCACTAGAAGAATAAAAATAAACAATTAAGCCCCGATTAAACTATTTTAGGAAAGTTAAGTAAATTTAGTTGAAAATTATTTTACTTAATTTACCGACTGCAAGTTGAAGTTTCTTACAGCGAATAGGTTTTGTAGTTCACTTTGTCAGCAGTTATTGAAGTTGTTACGTTTCTCTATTAGTTTTAGTATTACCTTCAAGACGATTTTAAATGTCTGTGAGGTATGAAATTAAGAAAACATTGCCATAAATGACCTTCGTATAGGCTATCATCTGTGAATGAGATAACATGAGTATACCGGTTATCATGCTAGTCAATCAGATAGCTTGTTGAAAGTGGATTATGTTTTTACTTTTTCTTTAAGTACATTTAGTGTTCCTCAGATAATCAGTGGCAGTCCAAGGAATCAGTTTTCTGGTTTATACATACATGCATGTCGGCATAATTAGATGATGGAAGTAGCCTGATTGCAATCGTCCAGGTTAGAAAGAGTGTGCAATTAAGTTTAATAACATTTACTTGTTTCTTCTTTGAGAATGAATTCTGAGAGCATACTCGTTTTTCATTTGTGAAGTTTAATTAAAGGATGCCTTTAAATAGTGATTTCATCACACAATAGCTCAAAATCCTACCACCATTTATGTTTATATACAAAAGTGGATGGTGTAACTTAATGAATAACTAATGTAACAGTGAATTATTGACAGATTTTATTTTACTCTTTTGCAAAAAGCTTCTTTAATCTAAAAGAAAGATGTGTGGAACTTTTGTTTATTACAGTTGCTTATTTTCTTACAACATTTAAATAGGAAAATATAATGACAGCATTTATTTGTGTCCACTTCTCCTATATTTTATTATGATGAAACTGTGTGATAATATGAAGTTGGAAATTTTGTTATTGCTATATATTATTTTTGTTAGTAAAATTAACTGTACGGTTGTTTTAACCTAATATATTTTGCATAAATTCAATGAAAGTGTGAACTTATGTTAAGCTGAGCTTTATTATCATTCTTAAATGGTAATTAGTTTCCTTGGCTTTATATAAAATATTTTTTTTTCCATTGTACACTGTACACCTCTAGTGTTGTTATTACAACATATATTTATTTTATTGTCAGTAGCTATAAGTCAGGAATTACTGTTATTTCCTTTGCCAAAAATCCCAAATAATTAGATATCTTACTGTGCAATGATTTAGTAACATATTCTAAGGTTACTTTTGACCTTGTGTTCAATTCTATTATAAGCTTACTACAGAAGTTTAAGGTATATATATTTTGTTGTGTCCTTTTTCGATGTTTATTTTTCTGATCAATTGTGACAACTATTTATTTAAATTAATAACATCTGAGGCTTAATTCTCCAATATCTTTGTTGTAAAGCCAGATATTGTGATGATATAGTACTTTATCTCTCACTTGTGCTTTATCTATGTACTTATTTATTTATCACCATTTTTCAGATTGGATTATTGCCTGCTATGGTGCCTATCACTTAGAAATTATGATTAAGACAAGATTTAAATTGTGAATAAGGTATAAACAGAGAGCATGCTCTTACGAATAAGGATTGTAAATTGAAACCAACAACATGAGGTAATGGTAATCAATATTAAATAAAATTGGCTTATTATAAATAAGAACTAAATAAATATTTTTTTGAAAATATTCGCTAATTTCAATTTATACTTAACATTTAAGTGCAGCAACATCGGACTATTCGGAAACTCATTGCTTGCATTTCCTACGATTTCTACTAATATAAAGTTAGTTAATTTTATTTTCTAGTGCAGAACTAGGCTAAAAGTATTTAAATTATTATTTTTAATGAAATATTTAAAATACCAAGAATTAAAATTGTTTACTGAATAAGTATTCTAAATAAAAAATACCAAAAGTATATTGTGTTTTAAATACAATTTTAAAGTTGAAATATAGTTTTATTATATTTTATTGTGTAGAGAATAAATTTTAGCAGGTTGTCTACTGGTAGTCCTGGTAGTCTGGACCTGGAAAATTTAGAAATTTTTGAACCTGATATGTCAGGATAGTTAAGGAATTTTCGAACTTGACATGGAAAACCCATAAAAGTCAGGGAATTCCATAAGATGGTTTTAGTAGACACCCTCTTTAAGGAATTCACATCATTTGGTAATTTAATTTATTAAATACATGCTTTGTATTTAGTGTTTTAGAAAAAAAATTCTGTTACAATGTATTTTATTTTGTAAAAAAAATCATTTAAGCCCTGTTCTGTTTCAGAATATTAAATTTGAATAGACTTTTATTTAATTGAATTTATTCTTCATGTTTTATCAAGTTATTCGGATGAGACCTTTCACTTTTAATAAAGATAACTCTTCATCATAAATAATTTGTTCATTGATCCCTATTATGCTGTCATTTAATTTGAAGCATTTATTTTAACAATTAGTGCTATTAATTAAAGTAGAAATTATTTTGTATGTATTTTTTTTTTTCAAACAAAACTATTTATTAATATAAAACTATGGTTTTTTATATAATATTTTTATAGTTCCATTTTGGGATATAAAATTCTCTAAACAATCTAAAATATAAAACAAATATTAATTCTTGATAGTATAATATTTGGTTTGAAATAATTTTCATATTAAATAAAAGTATTACCCATTTGTCAATTAAACTGGTTGTTGGAAATTGAAGTACATAAGCAAACAGTGACTTATCAATAATTTCGTTAATTTGGGCATGAGACACATTAGCTATCTTCAATGTGCTCTTCAAATGGAAAACCTTAAAGATAGCTTGTTTTATCTAGTACAATTATTTTTATATAAAGAATATGCTTAAATTGATCACATGTATTAGATGTCTATGTAATTATATTAAAGTTTAATATTGATTGTGATTTAGATGGAAAATAAAAAGTTTTCTTTGCTCTGAGTCATTGTTTCTTCCTCTCTACCAACAGCTGAATAAATATTGTTATAAAATTGCTCTAAAGTGATCGAGCAATGAGGTAGCTAACTGTAGCAGCACGGAAAACATACATTCATTGAATTTCCATTTTTATATTTACAAAATTAATTTGGTTTGGAAATCAAACAAAACATGACATCACGTTGCTGTGAACAAAAAAAAAAAAAAAAAAAAAAAAAAAATTCAAAGCTCTTTTAACATTGGGGTCTATCACAGAAAACTGAGAAATCTATATATTATTATATAACTTAGATATTTTATTGAAAATTTTGTTATATATTTTCAAGTATATAGTAAATTTTATTTTAATTCTTTTTTCAGTTTGATCATGTTTATAAAGATCATAGCACGAATCATCTTTGTTATTGTAAACAATGTTTATTGCATTCCAACGTCATGTATTTGGATCTTGTTCCTTCAGCCTGTCAAGTTTTATAAGCCTGATTGGTATTGGAAAATCGAAGGAACTTTCTTCCATTGGCTGTTAGCAATGGTTAGCATGTGGAGCTGGTCAGCTGGTTATGATGGTAATTTATTTATCATAATACAAGTTTATTTTTTTTTTAATTAATCCTCTATTTAGCTATTTAAGGAGGAAGATTATCCTACATTTAACTAATATATTTTAACCAGAGTGGAAAGGTTTATTTGATATAGAATTCATTTTAACCTGTCCCAGCCAAATTTGAATTGGTGCTGCTAGAAACAAGATTGTTAAGGTTAACGGTAATGACTGTCTTAGCCTCAAATCTTAGGAGTTGCTTAAGAGGACTTTTTGAGGACTGGAAGATAGTAGTGGCTCCAGCCCGCTACCTTGGAGTTAAACAGAAAAGCAGCTCCGGTAAGACTGCCTGAAGATGGAAGCCACCGTGTCGCGGAAATCTAAGAATAATAAAACAAGCTATATGCACATTACTATTAAATTATATTGTTTTACTCTCAGTGTACTGTTGATAAACAATTATGTATAGCTTCCCACTACCACATAGATAAATTGCCCTATAGCCTATAGTACTTGAGCGTCAGCCATGCTTCTTTTCTAAGATAATCACTGAAAAAATGTTTCGGTTGGATCATGATCAACAACTTGGATTTATAGGAAAACTTCCATTAAACCCATGAAAAATAACAGTAGCATTTTGGTAGACTTATTTAAATAAAATGTAGATGTTTAAATAAGAATTAATTTATTTTTAGTTAATTTATGTTTTATCATTACACTGATTCCAATATTTGTTTTTCAAAAATTTGTAGTGGTTGAAATTGGTGATGATATTCGATTGTGTTTGGATGACCGGACATTGGTTGTTGCCAACCACCAATCAACTGCTGATGTACCAATGCTAATGGCTAATTTTAATGCAAAAAAAGGCGTGTTGCCCAACATTATGTGGATTATGGATAGAATATTCAAGTTCACTAATTTTGGGATTGTTTCAATAATTCATGAAGATTTTTTTATTTTATCGGTAAGTATTCCGTTATTTATATATGTATGTATTTGTATATTTACATGATTGTTTTATAGAAGGTATGAATTAAATGTATCCTTTGATCAAGGAAATTCACCAACTTATCAGAAACAGACAATTCGTGCCATTTTTAGTAGAATGATCATGATATTTATTGTATAATGTTTTATTTCTTGATTATAATTCTATGATATAAAATATGCTAAAACTAATATCAGGTAAATGAGTCTAGTATTTGAGTCTAGTTGCTGTAGACAGTAATTTATATTCTAGCCTATCAGTTGTGATGCCGATTGACCCTGGCGATGGCATTCCTGGTCCTGCATGGGTATAGCTCTTGCACCTAAGACCTTATTGAGAACATCTTATCCCGTGTTGGATATTATTGAAAGTTCTCAGGCTGTCATACATGATACCTACCTTGCTCTTGGAGCAACAGCCATATTATGATAGTACAAGTCGTATTATATGTAAATGAAACAAAAATCAAGTATATGACCTTTGTTGATACTATTCAGTTTGGGCCTCACACCTTTTAACTAGTGGAAGATTTTTCTTACCTGAGGGCTCTGATAACTGTAAGTAATGAAATGTGAAAGGAAATTGAGCAGAGAAAAGTTATTACTAGCCGTTTCGACTAGGGAGACATCTTAGAAGTAAATATCTTTTGTAAAATACCATATTGTGGCTGTTAAACTAGCGTTAGCATTCGGCTCAGAGTCATGGGTGATATGAAGGTCGAATAAAGGAAGTCTACTGGCTTTTGAAAGAAGAATCTATAGACCTAGGAAACAGAAATATATGTACCCAAAACGTGTAGGCTGGCAGATATTATTAGATGAGGCCTAGGACCAGTAATGGTTTTTCGATCAAATGTAATGAAAAAGATGAATGGAGAAAAATATCATTAGATACTTTAATTTTGAAGATAAAAGAGGTGATATTGAATAATTATTCATTAGGCCTTCCGTTATCTTGAAGTAGAAGAGAATAAGACATAAATGCTTAAAATTGATCAGTAGGATTTTTCATTATGGATCTAGAAAATAAATCAAATTATAGTTATCTTAAAAAAGAATGATTTAATAAAAATAAAATATATGATGTAATAAAAGAAACATTATTTCTGTTAATGGGGGTACCAAATAATATACATTGAAGTTTATGTGTTAGTAGGAATTTAATGAAAATGGTACTTGATAGATCGATGATGATCCATGTGAAGTGCTAATGTAGAGGTATATGAAAGTCTAGAAATGTTAAAGTTTCCCATCGAAAGACTGCTACTGGAGTATATCTGGATACAGTAATATGTGTTGGCATCTCTGCTGCCTCTTCCTGGTCCACTTCTGAAGCTTTATGTCTAGATTGACATTATCCTATCGTAGATTGGGTCGTAGAGACCATTTTTTATGCACGGCTGTATCTTGGCCACCCTGGTCTAGGTTCCTTGGTAGGATTCTTGTAGATATCTCTGTTGTTCATCTAAACCAACAGGGGGTGCTATTTCCGAGATGGCCTGTAGATGGTGCTGTTGTTGTGCTGCACTAAACATGTTTAAATTATGGATTAACATGCACTTAACAGATACACCTATTGAATAGATAAGATGTCTTTTATTTGATAATTGAATATCTAATTTGTTAGCATCTAGATGATTCTTTTAAATTAAAGTGAACATAACTTTATTAAATCCCGGTTTATAAATAATGTTAAAACTTTCTAGGGTAAATCTGCTCGTGAAGAAGCAGTCACTCTTCTGAAGAAACACCTTCGTGAGTCGTATATACCATTAAAAAGAAAGTTAATGGTTCTTTTTCCAGAAGGTGGTTTTTTAAGGAAACGAAAAGAAGCCAGCAAGCGGTAAGTCATGGCAAAGATATATTTTAGATTTATAAAAGTTTAATTATTATTGAATAACATTATTTTGTTTATTTTTAATTATTATTAGTTATTAAAGCCATTAATTTTAAGATATTTCTCTTCAGATATATTATGTTTTTGTTTTAAAATTGAAATGAGGAAGTTCCCAATTTCTTTGAATCTTACTAATGAAAAGTCATACCTTTTTACTTGATAATCAAATATTTATTCAAGTTATTTGTTTTAATGGTCAATCGACATTTCCATTTTCATTATTAAATTTTAATTATAAATTATAATTATATACTTAAAGCTCAAATAACGGCTTTTATATGGCTAAAAATGCCTGATGGATATTATCTATGAGATTTTTGTAAAAATTGATATACACTGGATGTCATTCATGTTGTGATAATGTAAATATTTTTATTACGAAAAGGCCAGATTAAGTGGTTCACAAAGCTCTTTCTACTTAGTTTTTAATGGATTTAGCGATTGATTCGACCTCTCGATTTCTTTGGATTCCTAAATAGAATGACCAGGTATTACTACAGTCATCTCTCAGAATACTGAAAATCTTTGTGTAAACACTACTTTTTTTTTCCAAAAAAAGTATTGATTATTGGCAAAAAAAAAGTATATATATAGATGATTAGCAACTACACCAATACATACATCTTAGTATGGAGGAAACGATTCAATCAATCTTCTTGCTTTTACAGTCTTTTGTAAAATATTTTCTTCCTTGTCTAGAATTTTTATTTATTTGCAATAACAAGACATAAATTGTTTAAAACCTAAGTATGTATAAATATCATTATGAACTGGCTAAAGTGATGCTGTGTTTTTTTTTTCAAAAGTTGCATCACATATCTTAAACTTATTAATGTATGAAAAAAACAATTGATCAGCAAATTAGGCACAGATGTTATTTCTTATGCCCACAATGTCAATTTTTTCTAGGAGGCTTAATAGATTATTAATTAAAATAACAAGTTGGAAGAAATTGCAGTATCTTTGGCAATTTAGTCCTCGGAGAGTTGTTAATTTTTAAGTGATTTAAATGACAATTGCTCCAGTTAATAATAATGCACTTAGCAACTTTGCATTTTTATTAGTTAATAATCACTTATTTTCTGTGCTGTCTTCTCTGTGTAATGTATCGAGTATTGAAAACAATGATCTGTTTTTTTTTTTGTTTTTTTTTATCGAACAGCCATAAAATTGTGCAGCTTAATTTTAAAGATATTTTTTTTTTTTAGATATGCAATCAAGAATAATTTACCTATCCTGACAAATGTTTCATTGCCACGTTTAGGCGCAATGCTTGGAATCATGGACGTGATGGTTCCTAGACCAAACTCTGAGGCTGAAAGGAGTATGTTTTACATCTCAACAAGTACGACTGGTAGCATTAACATGACTAATTTGTATTTTGCCTTTACTAATTGGTAAATTATTTAATAAGTTAGACTATTAACCAATAGACATGTAGTATAAAGTATTTTGTCCTATGTTATTTTGTTTTAATTTAAAATGTTTGATAAACTTTGATATTTTAATTTTTTGTGAATGGTAAAACCTGTGTTTATTTTCCACAAGTGGTTCAAAGATCCTTTGAAAATCAATATTATTTTATTGAATTGTAGTATTTTAGCATGATTATCCTAATTAACCATAGCAAGTCATAAGTCAGGTTTACTCCCATCTCCCTCCCACTGTAGATTGCTTTTGATACCAGTCCCACCTATCACTGTTCATTGAATCTAAACCACTCTTAGTTTTGACTTACTCCCTTTCAAAGCCATTTATATGACTACTACTTTTTCTTTAAAAAAAAAAAAAAAAATTTTTTTTTTACTTACCACCTTTTCCATATCAACGCCTCAATCATAATTTTAATATAATTTCTTATTGTCTAAATTAAGATTATTTTGTCAGAAATAGATGACTTACAATCCATCTTTGTATTAGATCTGGAGACCATTTGAAGATAATTACACACTTTAGGCGACTTTAATTAAATTAACAATCATTCTACTTTATTTTATGAAGTTGCTATTAATTAGGGTAATTAAGAGTTATCATAGTAAAAACAAACTGTAATATAATGTTGTATTCTCTTGCTTTTTACTTATCGATCTTGTTTGTTAAAAATTTGGCCTTCTATTCAGGTATGCTTTTTTTTTTCTGTTTTTCATTTCCATTCATTGTTTTCATTTGATTTTATTCTTTATCTTGCAAGTTTTATTAATTACTCCAGTAGTTCTTAAACTGAGTGCAACATCATCCTTAGGTGCTGCAACTATTTACGAGGGGTGGTATGGTCATAATATTGAATTAATATTATGGTCAAAGTTGTCAATTTGGAGACTTTGGCAATCTAAAAATTCATAAATTTATATTTATTAATTATAGAATTAAAATTAAAAGAAATCATATTTAAAATTATTTCTGGGCATAATTTTATTTTGCTGGTGTATATATATATATATATATATATATATATATATATATATATATATATATATGCTATAAAATGCCACAAAATTTTTAACCCAGAAAAGTATGGCAAACAATTTTTTAGAACCATTGATGTACTTGGTGTCAAACATTTGAGTAACTGTGACTGTTTCGGGACTATTATATGAAGTGCAATAAATCACTTCCAATCAGAGGAGTTTTTCATTGTAACAGGAGCTCATAACGCAAGGCTGTGACAGATTAACAGTTGAAAGAGACAGTAGATACTGCATCCGTTATTATACTGCATAGATACATTTTCCCACTCAAAGCTACAGAGAGCAAGGTTTTTTTTTTTTTTTCTTATGCCAAAGTCGTTGGTCATTCAGCCATCTGACATCTTGCTGCCCAGTATAATTTAGATTTTTTAATATATATATTTAAAAATATTTTTTCTCTTATGTCCGCATCCATTGTTCCTTGATGACACAATTTACAACTAGGATCCTCAGCCACGCTTATCTTGTGGAGATGACTGCAGATAGTCGTGACCAGTGGTCAGAGAACAGCCCTCTTTTCCCGCCTTCTAGACAATGTTCTTTAGGCTATGATGATCGCCGCTATCACACTGTTGAAATTTGTTCCATCTTTACTCACCGCAGCGCTGATTTGGAATTCCCTCGAGTAAACCTCTGCTCCAATCTTTTTAACAGCTGATTCAGCTGATCCATCGGTATAGATATGGAGCCAATCTTGAGGAGGGTACTTTTGAGCTATAGTTTCTAGAGCTAATGTTTTTAGCTTGTATTCAGGTGTTTCTTTCTTATCCACCTTATGAAGGAGTTGCAATTTTGCATTGCATGCGTTATTGTGAATTGGTAACTGGATGTATAAATGGTTCTCTTTCTTCGCAGTCCATCCCTCTTTCTTTAAGTAGTGTCATCGCCTTCAGCATGAAGGATTTTTATGTCTTGAGCCGTTGAGTGATGATTTTGTATTTTTTGCCAAAAATCTGGGTCCATTCTTTTAATTCGCTCGTGAAGGCACATTGCACCTAGCTTGCTCATGCCGTTTCGAGAGGGGTTCTTCTGTGGTCTGCAGTTCCATAGCTACAACAGGGGTTGAACGCAGTGCACCCAAAATCAAACGCAGAACTTTGTTCTGCTGGCCGTCCAGTCTTTTCAGGGATGCAGGGGACCTCAAATCCGTATTCCAGGACTGGATGTACGTAGATTTTATATGCAAGGCACACACATCATATCCTGGTGGCCCCCCATGTCTTTCCTCCAAATGTTTCAGAAGCTTTAGCCTGTTTTCTCCCTTTTCCACCATCTCTTCAATTTGTCTGTTCCAGATCATTTTTGTATATAATCTAACTCCCAGATATTTGCCTGCATAGGTTTTTGGCAAGGGGTTTCCAGCTCGTACTCTTTAGTTGATAAGGTGAAGAGTTGAAACTCAGTTTTCTTCTTATTTACTTCCATTTCATTACACTTGGCCCCAGTAAAAAGTCTCGCCATTGCCTCATTAATTGCTGCTTCGAGTGCTGTTATGTTGCTACTAGTCGCATATACTAGTAGATCATTAGCGAACAGTAGAGCATATATATTCCAGGTATTCTCTCGAGTACAGCTACTAAATCATCTATCACTATATTAAAGAGTGTGGGGCTCAAAACAGATCCTTGTGAAACTCCCTGACTGAAAGTTCTGAAGCTTGAACACCAGCCATTGTATCTTACTCTGAGAAACCTGCTTTATAATACACTGATATACAGAGTTTAATCAAAACGTTAGAGCCATTTTTGAGAAAATTGTAAAAATATGTTAAATTGATTATATAAAGTACCACTTCCGGTTTGCCAAAAATGTTTCTGTAACATCCAAGGATTATAAAAACCTCAAATACGCAATTTCAGTTTGGTACAGCTTTTCCTTTTTTGAGCTAGGCTGTTCACCACATACATACTCACATAGAGATACACACAGAATATTTTGCGGGACTTGGTTTTTGGACTCAAGGGACCTTGAAACGTGTTTTTCCGTTGAAAATTAAGATTCGAAAATTTCAACGATCGTAATACTTACCTCGTTTATTACATATATAGGTTAATGAAAGTAAAAATAATCAATAAAATATCAGATTCTGAAATAGCAGATTCAAATATGTTACAAGCAAAGAACAGATATTTACTAATAATATAAATGATATTATTTCAAGTTAAACTCTCATTAAAATATAAAATTTTTGTGAGTGAAAACTCAATTTACCCGAATTTGTTAATTAAAACCTTTTCAAACCAATGCCACAATATGATGTGACAAGATATATAGATAACACCAAGGTAGAATGGCATAGTAAGGGAGTTGAAAAATAATGAAAGTAATAACTGTTGGATTAATAATTGATGAATGAAATAAATAGTGAAGTATTGTGAAACTTCCTTTTATTTCTGTTAAAATTTTATTTTTTTTATGTCTGCAACTTTTTGGAATCATTTTCGAATTTTCAGAAGTAAATTACAAAAAAAAGTAATGAGGGGAAAAAGTGATAATATAAAACAAAATTTATTCAACAAGTTATATATATTGTTCTTAATAGTTGTAATGTTGGGCGCCGTAACATTGGCTTTCAAAAACTAATTAAAATTTGTTTTGAAGTTTTTCTTGACCACTGTCCATACTATCCTGACCTTCACCTATAGTTATGTTTTAACAGGGCCTCTCAGCTCAGTATATAGTTTAGTTTAATATATGCCTGATTGTTACATATGTATGAGAATGATTGCCCATGCATGTGCCTGCCAATTTATTTGTTTAATGGTTTTATTATTTACTTCTTATTACTTTTTAATAGATACCTTATTTATGATTAAAGACAGGTGAATGTATTGACATATAATGACAAACTCTAGTTTCATTTGAAGTAAATTTTTTCTATGAGAAGGAGTTGGTCAGGAGGTGCAGTCAAATAATGTGTACTAGACCTGTTACACATGTGTACTAGATCTGTTACGCATGTGTACTATATCTATTTCAACTGCCAGTCTATCAACTGCCTCATGCAGTGCCACATGCCACATCCTGTTGAAGACCTGCAAGGTGCGTCGAAACGTCGGCGTAATAATTAAAAATGCCATTTTTTAAAAATTTAGTATTTATTTGACCGCACTCCCTGACCAACTCCTTCTGATATGTCATGATCAACCATCTCTTCATCATTATTTTTTCATTATTAATTTTTTCTAGTTTACTGTGAAGCAATTGTTAATTACTTAAATTAAATATTTTTTTACTTTCACTTATGTATGTATGTAATATATAGTAAGGGTAAGTGTTGTGATCATGAAAATTTTTGAATCTGAGTTTTCAACGGAAATACATGTTTTGAGGTTTCCTGAGTCCAAATAACCAAGTCCTGAAAAATGGTCTGTGTGTGTGTGTGTGTATGTGTTAGCAGTCTAGCTCAAAAATGAAAAATCGTATGAAACTGATATTGCATATTTAAGATAGGTATATGCCTTAGATGTGACTGCAACTTTTTTGTTAAAATGGGCTAACCGGAAGTGCCACTTTATATGAACGCTGAAACACATTTTTACAATTTTCTCAAAAACGGCTCTAACGATTTTGATTAAACTCGGTGTATCGTTGTATAATTATATGATCTTTAATATCAATTAGGTCTTATCCCCAATGATGTCTCTTTACAGGGCTTAAATGCCCAATGTTCATATACATCTTCTTCTAAAGTACCTTTAATATGGTTTATTTTACATAATTAATCATTATTTAGAGTTATGAAAAAATGCTAAATATAACTTAAAAAAATTTGATAATTGAATAAAGGAGAAAAAAATAAAAATGCTTATCCAGGTCGAAAATTAATCTCTGGAAATACTAGTCAGAAAGGTATACGTTTAATATATTGTTGGAAATCGGAGAATTTTAGCAAAAACAATATCTAATACAGAAAGTTCTTGAAGATAACTGGGAGTGGCAAAAAAATTATAAATAATAATTTTTGATAACTAAAACTAAAACGTAAATTACAAGTTTTTAAAGAAATTAAATGAAATTTACTAACTAAATGTAAACTTTTATAATAATTTTTAAGTTTATTATTTAAAATCCAATTATTTAAAAATAAAATAAAAATTATTTAAAATTCATCTGATCAAAGCAATGACATTGTTTAAAAAACTATCTCATTGTACTTTTGTGAAAGAAGAAGTGAAATATAAAATCATTTCATCAATATATAAAGCATGTGTTTATAACCTTTAATACATTTACTGTAATTTAATGATTCTAGATCTAATATTATATTTAAATAATTAGGTATCAATGTCCATTTATTTCGAAAAATCGTCATGTAAATTTAAAAAAAATTAAATTAGTGAATAATTTGATGAATTTTCCCTTTGTAAAATCACAAAATTATCATGTGTTCTTCAAAAGTACCTTTAATTTAGTTTATTATAAATAATAACTATTTCTCATTGTTAGGACTTATGAAAAAATGCTAAATATAACTTTTGATAATTTGATATAAGAGAAAAAAAGAAAAATACATATCTAGGCCAGAAATAATAGCCAGAAGGTATTCGTGTAATATATATTGTTGGAAAGTAGAAAATTGAAAAAAAACAAAAGAATATCTAATATAGAAAATTGTAGAAGGTAACGGAGAGTGGTTAAAAAAGTATAAATAATAATTTATAATAATTAACATTATTTAAAGTAGTAAATCATCTGTTTTCAAGGAAATTAAATGAAATTTTCTTACTAAATGTAAACTTTTAACATTTTTTTTTTAGTTTGAAAAAGTATTAAAAATCCACAGATTCAGGTCAATGATGCTATTTAAGATAGTGTTTCATTGTACTTGTGTGAAAGAAGATGTGAAATATAAAAATATTTCATGGATATTTATAACCTTAAATATATTTACTGTATTTTTTTAGGGTCCTCGAATAACTTGAATAATATCTGATATTATATTTAATTAATTAGGTGTCTGTCGTCCGTTTATTCCAAAAATCATCATGTAACCTTTTAGAAAATTAAATTAGTGAATAATTTGATGAATTTTCCCTTTGTGATATTCCAACAGTATTCACTTCCAATTAGTGTGACAACTTTTGACCTGTCTATAACAGACAATGTAAATCTATTAATTCAATTTTAGCAAACTTTGCAATGGAAAATAACTGTTTACTTTCTAGTAGTTTTACAATCCATAATCAACGGATCGTAAAACCCATAATCAACCGGTGATATAATAAACAAGACTTTTGTTATTTTAATGGTATTTATGATTTGTTAGCTGTAAGGTTTTAGCTTTAGCACGGTTAAAAATGCAATTAAAAAATTGTATAATAGCCCAACACGGATAGAAAATAATTTCTATTCAAAGTTGAGTGGTAGGTGAAAGTTGTGTGTTGCGCGCATCAGATTTATATTTATCACTTCCTATTCAACAAAAAAATATGACTCTTAAAACTTTAATTAAATAAAAAAAAACTTAAATTTCCTACGTTTCTGTGGAAAATTGGACCATTGTTAATATAAACTTTTTTTGTAGCTCTCCAGATCTGCTATCACTCTTTAAAATATTTCCGTATACTCACAGTACACTCTGTATAATTATATTCATTTTACAAATTTAGCATTTTATTCCAAATATACAGTTGTTCCCTATTTATGACTACAATAATAGTCAATAGACTATGATAAATATTCAGCTAAGTTCTTTCGCTAATTGGAATCCTTAAGGTCTTAGAAGATTATAGGTTTTATGTAGTTGTTCAGTATTAATCTTGCTTTAAGCAATTATACTATTGTTTGATGTTTTAAACATGTAAATATGACAATATCTGCTTCAACATGATGTTAATATTATTTCATATACATGTGTTTTAAAGTTCTAAGGCCTCCTTTGCAATTCATCTCCAATCTTCTCAATTAAGAGCCTTAGTTCTGCAGGCTGATGCCGTCATTCTTTTGTAAATAATATAACAATAAAAGTTCCTTCTTTATCTATAGCCTAGTTCCTTTCTGGAGGTTCTGTTCCCTCTTGAAGTAGTATCAAATTTGCAATGTGTTCCTCTTCAATACTTAATACTGATTATACTTGTTCAATGCCTAGATTTCTATGTCAATACATTTTTGTGAAATGCATGTTCTCAATATTAACATGTTGTGTATTCCTGCGAATTGACCTAATTACTGCCATTTTTATTTCTTTGCTGTTAATCAGTGTACTAACCACAGCTGTATCTCTCATGAAGCATTCTTTTCCGATTTGAATATTTAAATCCCCTATTTCAATGACCATATCATATTTCAGAATTTTTTTATGGAATATTCTACTGTAATATTTTTCCGATTCATTCTATGTTAACTGAACAGTTCTACTACTTAAGAACCTGTTTTCGCTGGGTTGGCTAGTTTGTTCCACTATTGCTGTGTGAGATTCTAATTTCAGAAAGATGCTCTCAAAACGCTTTTATAAATAATCATCATGGTTGAGTGTAGAAAAGCAACCAGATAGCCCTACCCAACTGATCATCATAGCTTGAGCCACTCAGGTTGAGAGGTATTCTTGTTCTCATCCAACAGCAATCAACAGGAGTTTTTTTTTTTGCTGTGATTACCATAGACGGATTTTGCTACCTGCCAAATTTATTTGAATCAATTAAGTTTTCATTGTAGATCTGTATCTGAGAAACAAACTCAATGCTTATTGTTATCAATTCTGATAGTTGTAATTTACTCGACTATTGTTCCTATCATTTTCTGAGGGTGACAAATTAACCCTAATACTCAATATTGTAGAGAATTAATTATTTAATAAAACGCTTGTTTGAGAGTTTCTTACTGAGGGCAGAGTAAATTTTAAAAAATAGAAAATCTTTAATTATACCACTATTAACTTTGTAGTAGAAGTCATTTTTGGAGTTTTTAAGCATTATAAGTTCACATTTGCTTGCATCTTTTTAATGAAAACTTTTATTGTTTGTGTTGAAAGTTCTATATGTTAATTAATCTTATGTAGTTTTTCTTTATAACTTATTACAATGCTAACTAACTATAAAAGTGTACTTTGTTTTAGTCAGCTTGAAATATTTTTTATCACTCAAAATTTATTCACTTAATCATTTAAAATTATTTTGTTTCTCTCCTTAAGTTCCAGAAGACGATGAACTTCGATGGGTATTGGATGTTACAATTGCGTACCCTGAGGGTAAACCATTGGATTTGCCTACTATAATCACTGGATCTAGACCACCTTGTCGCACATTTATGTTCTACAGGCTATTTCCGTCCACTGAGGTAATTACTGATATCATACCAATATCAATTTTATCAAATTCTATCCACCTCTTCTGCTTACGCACGCTTAAATGTATTTTCATAGATACAATATTTCAGAAACGGTTCATTTGATTTGGCTCAAAGTTGGATAAAATATAGGTTTTGGTGAAAAAATGAAGTAGTGTCAATTTTCTTGAATTCTGTCCACTACTTTCTCTGACTTATGCGCAAATGTGTTTTGATTGATACGCTTATATCTCTAAAACCACATGTTCGATTTGGCTCAAACGTGGAAGGAAGTTAGGGGTTGGTTAACAGATGATTAAGTGAATATCGAATTCTATCCACTACTCTAAAAAAAAATACTTCCGCTTTCGGATCAGTAAACGTATTATTTGACATTCCTATAGTCTGGAAACGGCTTGTTCAATTTGACTCTAGCTTGTAGGAAATTTGAAGAATAGTATAGAAATTGCGTAGTATCAATTTCATTGATTTCCATTTAATAATTAAAATTAATATAAATCAATATTAACAATATAATGGCTGTGAAATGTGGAAGGCATTGATCATGTATAATGGGGGTTAGGTTAATACAATATTTTTATGAGGTTATAAACTTTAATAAGGTTTTATTCAAAAACTTAATTTATAATTGTTTGTCCAATTCAAAACGTTACTTGCATGACACTTACTGCCGTAACTTAGATTTCGTGTAATGTTTAGTAAATTTAGAATTAATTTTTATTCAGTTTGTAAAAAAAAAAAAAGTCTTATTCCTGATTGTATTTTTACTGAGTTTGTAAAAAAAGAAGTCTTATTCCTGATTGTGTTTATTTCTATTGAAGTTCAGCCAGCTTGTCGTGGTTTCGATTTCCTTCTTAAAAATCAAAGTTGTATGAACTTCACACATATTTTTATATTTTAGCTTAAATTAGTTTTGTTCTGACCGAAGAAAAATATTGCTCTCGTTAATTCTGAACAAACAAAAAGTTAAAATTTTTCCAATTAATTTTTTTTATCCATTCATTTTACAAGTAAAAATATATGTATTAAGTATCCTGTTAGAGCGAAAAGTTGTATGCATAATTTTTATTCTTTTTGTGGTAAAGGTGACATTTTGTATTCTGCTACTATAGAAAACAGTAGAGGACAATAAAATATGAAATCATAGTACCATATCATAAAGAAATAATTGGTTTTTATCTTATTATTGGTTTTTATAATTGGTTTCTTCTGTAAAACACTTAACTTGTACATACGACCATTTGCACCAACAATAGTGATATAAATGTTCAGTTTGTACTGGAGATTTTTTTTTTTTAACATGAATCATAGAATAAGTGATCTGGAAATGTGGAACTCTTCCACATTTTAATATTTGCTTATAAACAAAATTCATGGATATCAAACCCACGAATATTGAGAGATTACTGTATTTCTGAAAACTGTTTCTTCTGGAAATTTAATTAATTCTCATACGAAAAATTAAAGATCTTAAAATATAGAGCCAATGAAAACGGTGAGGAAGTTATACTGACTTTAATTGGCAGACGTTTTTCTTTTTGAATCGTTTTAATTTCAGTACTATTTCCCTACATTTTAAAGAGAGGTAAAACTTATATATTAAAAAAACAACAACTTTTACTTTCACTTACCTATTTATGAAATATATACTAAGGGACAGTATTGCGATTGTAAAAATTTTCGAAGCTGAGTTTTCAACGGTAATAAATGTTTTGAGGTCTTCTGAGTCCAAATAACCAAGTCCTGAAAAGTGATCTGTGTGTGTTTGCGTGCGTGTGTCTGTGTGTATATACATGGCAAGTCTAGCTCAAAAACAAAAAGTCATATGAAAGGGAAATTGTGTATTTAAGGTTTGTATATGCCTGAGATGTTACAACAACTTTTTCGTCAAAATCTCATAGCCGGAAGTGGCACTTTATATCATCGATGAAAAACATTTTCTCGAAAACGTCTCCAACGATTTTGATTAAATTCATTATATCAGTGTAAAATTAAGCAATTTTTAATATTATGTAGGTTTTATTCTCATTGATGTTCTCTAACAGGGCTTAAATGGTTAATTTTCAATATTAGCTTCAATTAAAGTACCTTTAATATGGTTTATTTTAAATAATTAATCATCTCACATTAATTAGAGTTACGAAAAAATGCTAAATATAACTTTTGAAAGAATTTGATAATTGAATAAAGGAGAAAAAATAAAAATGCTTATCCAGGTCGAAAATGAATCTCTGGAAATACTAGTCAGAAGGTATACGTTTAATATATCGTTGGAAAGCGGAGAATTTTAGCAAAAACGATATCTAATACAAAAAAAAGTTTGAGACATATTCTTGATTCCTTTTCCAGATATAGTAAAAAATAATATGTTTTATGTTCTGTGTTTAATGAATATATGCATTGTGAAAACAAATGGTCAATGTATTTGTTTTAGCTACCTCGTGACCAAGAAGAGGTGACGAAGTGGCTGTTCGATCGGTGGGTTGAGAAAGACCGAGTCCTGGATATATTTTATAAGACTGGAGAGATCCCTGTGTCTGATTACTGCAGCTCACCATTACCCCAGCAAGTAGTTCGGCAGGATCCCTTGAGATTTTTCGTCATACATTTGTTCTTCATCGCCTCATCCTACTTTCATTTCAGGCTTATAACTTATGCTGTCTCTTTTGTATGGTAACATTCCTATGAATTTTTTAAAGAAGGGATCCTGTTCCCATTTATAAACTTTTTTAATTACATTAAAAAAATAATAATAAAAAAAAATAAAGCTGCTATAATTGATGTGCCTCAAGATTTGCAGCATGGTTTTTAAAAGATTTATAAAAAAATTAAACCTGTATACATTAATTTATAAATATTTATATGTAAATGAATCTAATTTATATTTACATGATCACAAGTATTTTAGTTGTTTTTTTTACTTTGTTGATCATTTTACTATGCAGAGTTCAGCATCACATTAGTTAACATTTAGTTTGTTTCTTATTTTTAATAATTTTTTGTTTTTTAATGGCACCAAAGGTAGTATCATAGGGTGCCTTATGCGTATAAAAATGGTTGTGAGATACAAGGCCAAAATCAAGGTGTACATTAGTTGTTTCAGGGTATTATTAGGTGCACTTAGAGTTGCAATTCTTTTCCCCTACTGTTGTCAATTTTTTTGTTTTATTAAAAAATTGCTTTTATTTTTGGCCATTGTAACACTCCACTTTCTTTTTATGCCAGATACTTTCAAGATTTCAGCTTTTGATGATATTTCTTTTTTCAACTAATGTAAACCATTATTTCAGTGTGATATATTTTTTAAATTTTGGTAATAAAACCGGTGTGGTATTGGAGTAACCAAATTTAATTTTAATTTGATGAAAATCATCATTTGTTATCTTAATTTAAGAAGTTTCAATTAATGTAACTATTTGCATTATCATTGATTCTATTTTAGTGATATTTAATTGTAAGTCATGAAAAATTATTAGTTCGAAAAATTGAATTTTAAATAAGCATTTTGCCAAATTATGTATCATTGTCTTTTAATTGTCTGAAATAGATGAACTCTGAGTAATATATGTATATAACTTTTTTGTTATGAAGAACATTATATTTTGAAATATTAATACATCTGTTCACTCTTCTCTTGACTGAGTTCATTCAATGTTCAAATCATCGGAAGCACACGCTTCTATAATTGTTCATGTATGAATTTAAAAATATATTTGAATTTTATGAGAATTTAATTAAATTATTAACTAGCCTTCTCACAAATGAATGTTTTAATTTTGTTGTGAGTATGCATTCCTAAGATCACTTTAAATATTTGGAAGAAATACATTTCATTAATATTAAGGAGAGCTAAAAACTGAAAAGATTATTGACATATTAAACAGGGACAGATATTTTTTTACCTCTGAACCAATCGGGCCCTATTCTTGCGTTTTTAGGTTAGTTATTAAATGGTTTAAATACTTTGTTTAGTTAAGTTTTTTCCCTTTATTCCTACATACCATAGAAAAATTTGTGATTTAACTTTAGTGCAATAGTGATTTTTTACTGTTATTACTAATGTATTTATTTAATAAATGATTATGCAATTATATCTTTTCTTTTCTTTTATATTTTGTCTCTGTACATACTATGTTCAGAAACATGTATTAGTTGTGAAAAAATAAAAAGAATCACATCCTCATTTCACTTTGTTAACATAAAAATTCTTATTTAAAATTATCAATTTTAAAAAACTTTTATACTGCATTAATTTGATCACCAAAATTTATTTTGCCTTGACTATAAACAGAATAATTCATATCTTAGAACTTAAAATTTATCAAGGAATTAATGTTTGATATGCACATCAATATATATACAAAATCAAACAAATTTTTAATTCTTTACTTTTCATACGTCATTACACCTGAGAAGTGTTGAGATTACAGGCTGAAACTGTTTTGTCGTTAATGTTTTATGTTTTAAGTAAATACATGACTTATTTATATTCTTATTATTTTTCTCTGAATTATTAAATAATCCTTCATGTTTTTTTCCATGTTATTTTCACATAACATCTTAATTGATATAAGATGAAATAATGTTCAATATAATAAACATCATCTTTATAGTGTGTCTTATTCTCTTGTTTACCATATGACTTTTTTTTATTTGTTTGTTAAATAATATATTTTTTTGGTCATATTAACATTTTTTATGGGATTATTCACCAGTTATTCACTCCACTTTATCAGTTGTTCATTTCAATATTTTGTTTTATTTAAAAAATAAATATCCCTATTTACTAATTTAGTAAATATTATATAAATAACATTTAGAAACATAAGTAATATAACATTTATTAAATGTTTCTTAAAATTTAGGAACAGTTTTAATAATTTCTTGCACTAGATTGCTTCAAAAGTCTTTTTGCTCAAAATAAGTGCAACGTGTAGACACAAGGGGGTTAATGTGTGTAGGATGATCATTGGTAGGTTTGTAGCGATTTTTTGGGCAATCAACCCAACTAGTTTTCGTGTTTGATGATTTAAAGTATTTTGAGCATAAAATAATGAAAACTACTTAATTATATTTTAAATTTTGTATTGATTTCATATCTTATCTCATGTTAATATGATGTCAAACCATTTGTAATGAATATAAATTGTCAAACTTGTAAAATTAAAAACATTAAACCTATCAACAGTCAACCGGAACACATACCCTACTTTAAACTTTGTCATATGGGTAACAAATAAACAAAAAGAACATGGACAATATTTAGCTAAATTGTTTTTTTTTCTCTGCTGGGAATTAGTTATTTTTTAAAAGTAAAGTATCACTTTTTAGTCATCAATATAATTAACTATTGTTGATAAGAGCCATTACTATATTATTAAATATCTTTGGTAAATAATTTGAAGTAGAAAGAGTATTTTTTTTATCTACATTCAAATTACATTTGTTTAAATCTTTAAATGTTATGAATTTATTTATTTATGATGAATTTATTGACTGTTTATCATAAGTAAGTCAAGTTTTAATATTATTAGTAATAATTGGACAAATTAAATTTTATTGATGCCTTAACATACTTGTCATTAAATGATAAATTATAATGTTGCAGTAAGAAGACTTTTCCGGAATTTTACAATTTAAGATAGGACTACCTGATGATTCCTTGACTGTCTCAAAATTTTATTGCTACAATAATAAATATATTTGGGCTGGTGAAATTCTTCCCTGTCTCAAATTCTTATTATTTTTCTTTTTTCTCTTCATTCAAAAAAAAAAAAAAATTACTAAAGGCTCTGAAATTCAATTACTATGTAGCTTTCTGTGACATACATGTAGGTAAAAAAATTGGTTATCCTTATTTTTTATTCTCGTTTTAAATCTATACAAGTAATTGAAATAACTCTAAAAAATAACTCCTTAATATATCTCTGCTGACAAAAATTTTGTCACAGGAGTGATTTAAAAAAAGCCTGCCCCACAAAGAAAGGAGCCTTGGAGCATGTTTCTTTAAATTAAGAGTATTAGCTAAGTACCAAGAATGCCTTCCATGGCATTTCACTTCATAGTTCGGTAGTAAAGACTAGAGAAATGACTATTGTTTATGACTCCAAAGAAATGGAAGCTTAAATTGGGTGGAGTGTCTATTGGAATTCAAGTGTAATCATCACCATATTCATTGACCGTAACTGCTACTAGAGTTGCTCTATTCAGCCATTCCAATATGACCTGAGTCTTAACGGAAATAAGTTTCAATGGGGTATTTGCATAAAAAAAAAAATTGCATAAAATTGAGCTTTTATTTGTCATGCTTTTATTTAGGCAGTATGGTATTTGCAGCTGTGAAATGATTCACGTGTCTGCATAACAAACCGCTGTAAGTGAATCTTTTTACATTTTTATATATAGCTGTGCACACAGCTTGTTTTTATTTATAATTCAGTTCGACAACCTCCCTGGTGTGGTTGAGTCTCTCATACCCAAGGAGAAGTGGATTGGATCCATTACTTATTTTCATCCCTACACTTTTTTTTTACTATTCATGAATTTTATAACTGTAAAAAATAAATACACATCTAGTAAATGTGATAAATAGAATACAATAGTATGAACAACATTGACTGTACATTCTTTTTTTCCTAGGTCAGCTCATTTTTTCATTAAAACATTTTTTAAATAAGTCATTTTCTACATAACCTGTTTTATTAAAAAAAAGAAATGTCTTCTTTTGAAAAAATAAATTAAATGAATGAAGTTCTCTGAGGATTTATTTTAAAATAAATATATATAATCTCTTTTTCATCAGTATTTTTTTGTCTAAATATTGCTAATTGAATGTAAAGTTGTAATTGTTCAAAATGTAAATATTCAAATCTAATATCAGTATATTTAAGGCAAAAATATCGATGTATTAAAAATATATTTCAATATTTTTAAAACATTCCCAGATATATATTGTGGAGTTGGACTTGTTATGATGAACTTCAAAGGTTTGGTAGCTCTTGACAACTTTAGTAAATTTATAGGTTAATAGTTAATTGGCGACTTTAATAATTAGTTTGTTTTTCTTAGATTTTTCATTTTTTCTACTGTCAATAATAATAAAAAAGATCAAAGAAAAACATTTAAAACAGTGTTATTTATATTCATATTCATATAAATAATTATTTAACCATTTTACAATAACAAACTAATATTATAATAAACTCATAGACTGGAGTCAAGTTCTTTTTTTTTAATTGATGGGGTGCTCAAAGATGAATTATGTTTTCTTCAAACTATCTTATTAGTCATGCATGAAATTTACAACTGTATAAAGATTAATATACATATTGTAAATGTGATACAGTGTCATGAAAAACTTGTAGAAAAACACCCATTGGTACCACTTTAATAAAAATTCTAAATTAATGGATCAGGAGGCCATCTTCTTTCAGACGCCTTGGAGGGTTATCAGAGATGAAAGAGGAAGCAAGGTTAGAAACGAGAAGATTAGGATCGTTCTGAAGTTTATTATGGAATGATAGGTTTCTGGATTGGGCAAAATCGGAAGCATACCGAACATTAGGATCGTTATGGATGAATCTATTTGGAAAAAAGTAAGGATCATTGTGAATTTTGGATGGTAAGGATTGGATAAGAGAGGAATTCTATGGTTTAGTGGAGCTCCAAAGCTCAACT